CTTCGCCGGTGACTTTGCTGCCAGCCAGGGCGTCTCAACTCGGAGACGCCCCGGCTTTGGCCGCTGCCCCTTGCCGACTGGCAGCGGTTCAGGCACGCCAGTGGCCTGCCCACCCTGTTATGTGGAGTCCCTCTTTGGGGTGGTCTCATTATTGGTCCCCTGTTTATTCCGCATGGCTGCGGGTTAAATTTGAGTACCAGGTACTGAATTGACCTCAGGGTCGGACCCTCCGCCCCCGCCAGTTGCCGAGCTTGATCTTCGCGCACTTGCGGCGGGCAACGGAGGCGCCAAGTCGCCGCTGCGGACTGGGCCCGACTGGGGCCCCGCGGACCTCGCGGCAACAGGTTGCTTAGGCAACGGCGTAGCGCCACCTCCGGAACGGGCGGCCCTCTTTGCGACATCACTTCAACGATTACGCGAAAGCCGCCCTCGCGCTCCACGCCACTGCTAGCGGGTTCACCCAGGACCAATTTCTGTTCTCGGCGCATCATCTTCGCGGGAGCCGCCACTGGCAAATTGGTCCCCCGAGCGCCCTGGGCGCGCCCGCCCTCAAGGTCACCTTCGCCCCGGGCGCGGCCGCCTGGCGGCCCGGCAGGCGAAGTAGGCGCGAGCGGCCACTCCCCACAGATTTCTTCTTCGATCCCCCCATCGGGCCCTTGAGCGGGCGCCGGGGGAGATGCAGGAGGTTAAGCGCGAGAGCTTCCGACGATCTGCCCCGTCGCGTTCAGTTCGCGCTGACGGGGGATACCACGATCACTGCCCCCACGCGCCCCAGCAGGACCCCTGACCCGCCGTTGCCGCCGCCAGCCCCAGTTGTTGATTCTGAGAAGGTGATCATTGCCAAGATCATTCCGATTATCTTCTACTTATTGAGCACCCGCATCAGCAAGCGGGACACATTCCGCATCGGACGCGGCCGCCCCCCACCTACGCCGCCACAATGGCGCAGGCGCCACGGCGCCCCACCACGACGCGGGCCACGAGATGAACGGCCCATGGGACAAATACCGTGGCGTCGGCTGCGCGGCGGGCTCGGGCAGATAGGGTAGATTCTGCGGGCGCGCATAACATCTCGCTTGCACGCGCGCCCCCCATCGCTCTCTCTCTATCTCTCTCTCTCTCTCTCTCTCTCTCCCTCTCTCTCTCTCTCTCTCTCTCTCTCTCTCTCTCTCTCTCTCTCTCTCTCTCTCTCTCTATATATATATATATATATATCTCTATATATATATATATATGTATATCCCTCTCTCTCTCTCTCTCTCTCTCTCTCTCTCTCTCTCTCTCTGCCCCAACGGCAAATGATGTTTTGATGGTGCGATTGTTATCACGGATAACGCGTTTCAGGGGCCACTAATGACAAATCGGTTCGTCTGCGTAGCCCTGGTCGAGGCAGCACGCCACACCCGCGTCGCCCATCTCCGCGCGCGGGCCCCGTCCGCCGCAAGAGAAAGAGGCGCGCCCCCCCCAGAAGACGAGTACCCCATTCCCCAACCCGACTCGCTGGAGCTTGCACCGCGCGCGAGGTCCGCGGACCGAGCATAGCCCTTGCCCATTGAAGGGCCCGCCGTACGCGACTGACTGCGGCATCGGCCGGGGCCGCCCGCGCCCTGGCTTTGTTTGCCAGATTTCCCTGGCGCGCCTGCAGCGGCGCGGGCCGCGGCGCCGCGGCCGCGGCGACTGCTGCCCTCGTCGCCCGCGCAGGGGCCGCCCCACCCGATGGGGGCCCTTCCTGGCTCACCCCGCATCGTGAACATGTCGGCGCGGGCCTGCCCCCACCCCACAGCGGCTCGCTCTTCCTCCGTGAGACCACACACTGTCGCAGTTGGGGGCGGCGGGGGGGGGCCCCGCCCGCGCCCGAGCTGCCGTTCCAATACTTCAGCGCCAGCGGCAGGCATGGCCCAGCTTCGGACACGCAGTCGCCGTCGTCGTCATCGCCCGGGTCGCAACACACGTGCCCGCGCCATGGCAAGCCCGCCCAGTCCTCGAAGGGCGCGTCGAAGAGCTCCTCGATCCCGTCGCGCAGGCACTCGGCCCAGCGCTCGATCGACATGGCGGCCTCGGCGAAGCGTGCCATCAGGAGACCAAGCAGACCTCGTCTGGGCCTGCAGGGGGTAATCGATCCGGGAAAATCGACGCATTCCATCACGTCTTCTTCGGATTGCTCCGACGCGAGAAGCGCGGTTTCGCCCCCCCCCCCCCCCCCCCCATTCACACCACCACTCCCCATGGAGCACTGTGCTTGAAACCGCGCACCGATTCAGCAGGCACTGCACGCGGCGCACGCGCCTCTCTTATCCATCGGATTAAGCCCACGCCCCTCACCTGCGCCAGCTGCGCGCCCACGGCCCCTACCCCTACCTTTCCCTCCAAGAGACAGGTCTTCAAAATCATAATCCGTCGTTGGCCCAGCAAGAAATGCGGCGGCGCCTCTGCCGCGCAATCCGCGGGCGCATCTACCACCCTTGCCGCGGCCCTTGCCCTTGCGAAAGAACTATCCTGAATGGTTTCTGCATATGTCGCCTCCACCTTCTTCTGGCGCGGTGAAATCCTTCGCATACATAATGCGTCGCCACGTCATCACCGGCGGGCAGATCTGACCAGTCGAGGTTTTCGGCGCCATTTGAGGAGACCGCACCGGCACCCGTGCCAGAATCGAAAGCGCCGTCGTTTCGTTGGCCGGGGGAACCCCAGAGGGCGGTCGCGCCACGCGGCGCGTAGGGGGCAGCAGATGGCCAGCCAATGTTCAGGGCCAGAAGCCCGCGCATCGCTGGCGCCCTGGCCCAGAAGCGTCGTGGATTCAGTAGGCTCTCCGTCGTTCCAGACGCTGTTCGGCACGGCTGCCAGCGCATCGGGCACTGCAAGTGACAGCGTCGCGCCCGCCGACGATGCCCGCGACGTTTCCTGGGGAACGCTCAGCCCAGTGTCCACGGATGCGCATACGCTCCAGGAGTTGATCGCCTTGTTGTCTGGCACGGGGAATCCGGTGGTTGAGCGGCTGCAATAGCTGCGCTGATAGGGAGGCACCGACCCCCAAGGCACGCAATTTCATCAGAACAAGGATCTGGAAGTTGGGCACATTGAAGCCCGCTGAGTCCGCTTCCAGCCTGGCCATCTCGAATCGAAAAAGCACCAGGTCGACGCGCTCGCCCCTATCGACCGTGAAATGAACAAGGGCCGTCCCCGAGGTGAGCTGTCGTTCATTCTCGAGGTTTTCAAAGTTGGTGCTTCGTAGGAACATGATATGCGTGACTCCGTCGGTGCGTCTACCCTGCAAGGTGGCACCATAGTTGATGATGGTAGACGGCCCCTTTTCATAACCAGTGCCCTCGCTAGACCTCCTAGGCCACGCTGTAATGCCGCGGCCTGTTGGGGCGCAGTTAAACTTCCGCTCGCGACTTTGAGCCACGCGCGCGCTTCACGAACGCATGACGCGGAAGGGCACGTTGCCTGCGTGGCCCCAGAAGAGACCCCGAGCGCGCGTTTCATCCATCCCCCCTCCTCGCATGCATCCCGCGGCAAGACCTAGGCGCACCAAAATGGTTCCAAAGATAGCAGCCTTGACATAGTGCATGGTCATGTCGTAACTGAGGATGTCAGGTTCCGTATCAATGGTGTTTGTCGCGTCGGTGGGGTTGCGGCTGTGTGTCTGGTCTTCTGACGTGGCCGTCAGTTCGCGGATGCGCATAGGCGCTCGGTCTGCGCGTGGCGCGTGGCCACGCGGTGGGGGGATGGAGGCACAGGAATGTAAGTGACCAGTTGGTTGCAAAGCATTAGAAATGCAGTGGCTGCAAGCAGGCGCAGTCGGGCACACCACTGCGCCGCGGTAAATTGTCACGCGCAAGACACTTGATGCAAGAGCCAGACGCATAAAGATGAGGCCAGCTCCGCTACCAAGTGACAAGCAAGGGGTGAGGGCTGAGAACCCTGCTCTCAGGATAACAGCAAACACGTACCGAGGCACCCCATAACTCATCCTTCGATAGCAAGCTAGACGAGAGGTAAGAGACAAGCCAGGAGATGGAGAGATGGATCATTGATGGACGTGGCCTTTCGTCTGGTACAATGAATCGATAGAGCCACAATGTCGCGCACATAACGCATAAGGCTGCGCAACCTGAAGCCAAGGTTGTGACGGATATACCGTTCGCTATACAATCCCCCCTTGAACTCCGCACAAAGTGAGCTGCCTGCAAAGGCCCGAGCAAGCGGCCCAAGAGGCCACGTGAGCGGCGGCCGCGTGCTGCTCGGCCGAGCGCAAGCCTAGGCCCCCTTGCGCAGCTTGAACTGCGCCTGCCGCCAGGACGCGTCGGAGGACAAGCAGCCAGACACCTGATGAAGCCAAGCTCGCACCCCATCGCCGATCGCGTGCAAAGCCGCCGAACGCGCGGTGGGTGGCACCACCCGCGCGTAGCCCAGCTTGCACACGGAGGCGCACTGGCACAGAAGGTGCACGGCGACCTGCGCGTCCTCCAGCGCCCCCAACGCGTCCAGAAACTCCTGTGCCACGAGACCCGCTGCTCCTCATTGCTCCGACCTTGCAGACGTGCTGCAGCGGATTTCTGCGTGGATTTCAGCCCGTGCAAAGCCCCGAAACGGCGAGCGGAAAACTAAGTGAAGTTCATGTGGACTTTTTGTATCATTCTCGGGGATGGCCAGACCCCCCTTTAGTAAAACGTGGTTTAGTGAAAACGACCTGAGGCCTAAACCTGGAGGGCGCAAACCTGGAAAATAACAGCCACGGCGCCCTCTCGAGAACCGAAAACGGACAATTCACTAATCGACGTGTCACTGTTGGGGGTTCTGTCCAGCCTCGACATTCATTCCTGGCCCCAAAAAAACCGCACGAAATTCATTTCGAATTCCATAACGAAACTCACCAGGACAATCTGGGGCCAAACCATTGTTTTCCGACCGAACTCCGCTCTGCGATGCTGGCGCCATGATGCTTCGTGTGCTGGCAACAGAAGGCGTCGTCGTCCCCGACCGGCGCCCGGAGGAACTCGAAGCTCCAGTCCGTGCGTGCGGAGGCAGAACCCTGGCGGGAAAGCGCCAGGGTCGACTGCGCTGTCCATGCCGCCGGCAGGGACCACCTCGCACTTCCCTGGCCCGGTGCTGAGCTGGAGCCCTGGCGCGGCGAGGGCGACGACCAGCTCGTGGAGGAGGCGCGCCGCCGCGAGCCAGTCTGCCGCAAAGGTCTCGTCCAGGAAGACAGCCTCAAGGTCGACCTGGCCAGGGGGCGCGGGCCGGGCGGGGTCGGGAGCGCCGCGCAGGACCAGTTCGGCGCATCGCTGGAGAGCGAGCGCAAGAAGCAAGGGTCCAAATGGGTCGCCCTGCTGAACTCCGCATTCCGAACAGATGCTGTGCTTGCCGAGGCGGCGGAAAAAAGGGCGCGAGTGACACTAGTCGGCCCAAGGCGCCAAACTGGGGAACTCCTCGTGGAGAGCCTGGAGCGAGGGAAGAGGAAGCGAGGACGGAGCAGGGAGGGATATGGGAAGAGGGAGATGAAAGGAGGAAGGAGACCAGCGAAGGAAAATGAAGGGGCGGATCAGGATTGCGTCAGCAGAGAGGGCACCCAGGAGGGGCCACTTTCACGGGCATGGCGAGGATGGGGAGGAGGGAAGAGGAGGGGGCATGACGCAGGGGAATACCTCGCGCAAGGGGCCAAGACACGGCGACGACCGAAGCACGCCAGGATCCATGTCTGCATATACATCTCTATATCTCTCTCTCTCTCACTCCCCTCCTTCTCCAGCCTCCCCAATCCCCTCTCCACCCCTCCTCTCCCTCCTTCCTCTTGCTCGCAGCCTCTGCGCGCGGAAACTGACTCCAAACAGTCCGAACAATTCGAGTGCAGAGGAGATCCACCGCACTCTCACTTCTTACTTTCTTTTTACACATGGCCCTGTCCATTGCCTTTGCCGTTATCAATCCGATACACGTCCTAAAGTCTCACTTGACCTCGAGCAAAAGTCCGCTCAGCAGTCTCATATACACATTCGCAAAGCACAATCGGTCAGAACGGCTCCTCCGCCTCCTCCTCCTCCTCCTCCTCCTCCTCCTCCTCCTCCTCCTCCTCCTGCTCCTGCTCCTGCTCCTGCTCCTTCTCCTGCTCCTGCTCCTTATCGCCCTCATCATCCTCCTCACCCTCATCCTCATCACCATCTTCCATATCCCCCTCCCTTCTCCTGACATTCTCTTTCTCACCCTCCCTCCCTGCTTCCTCCCTCCCTCCCTTCGCTGAGCTCTTTTCCTCCCGCCTCTCCTCCCACGATCATCCATGCCCCTTCCTATATCATCCATTCCTCCTGGTGCTCACTCTCCTCCCCTCCCCCTCCTCGCTCCGAGACCACCCGCCCAAATAGCGACCATGGTCAGCTCGTGGGTCAAGGTCACGAGCGAGCCTCTAAAGCTCTAAAGGCACCCCCCAAACGGCTGACATCGACGTTGCTCAGCGTCTCCACCCGTCTCCCGAATGCGGTGCTCGCCTTTCGTAAGCCAGTGACTTTCCGCATCTGCCGGGGACGGGTGGTGTGTTCATTTTCCCAGCGAGGGCTGCCATAGATGTTTGCAATGGGGACCTCCAACTCCCGCTCCGCCTCCTCCCTCTACTAATACTCCTCCAATGCCAGATCTTGTATAGATGGTGAAACGTCTCGGAAAAATCCGAGCGCTGCTGGTTATGGTGATTGGTTGCACGCGTGCGTGTGTGCTCTGTGCTGTGCGCTTGGGACGTGAGTTGCGCGCGCGCGTGCACGCCCAGCCCAAACCTGCCTTCCAATTAGGGGCTGGGTCAAGATAGTGGAGGTCAGGTTTCAGATTCCCTAAGACTTTGGAGGGTCATAGCGTTATAGCGGCCCCAGAGAGCGTGAGACGACCCGAATCCTCAGCAGCGTGCGGAAGAGTGCGATCGCAAGAGAGAGGAGCGGTACCGCTGAGCGTCGACTGCGACAGGAAGCGGACGGCGAAGGCCGCCTTCAGCCAGCCCATCATGATGAGCGCGAGGCCACTCGCGTTTGTGCGCGAGGATGTGAATGGAGACGAGATTGGGGAAGAGGAAGAGGAAGAGGCAGAGGATGAGGAGCACCTAGATTGAGGATACGTCGTCAACGCAATCGACCGAGATCCAACTTTAGAGGATATCTTCCCACCCCGCCCCATCACCCCACTACACATCTACACTATAGAACGGCACTCCCAAACCCGATCGGTTTCAAAAGCACGCACACGATCCTCTCGAAGACCAGTACGCGACAGGAACAAGACGATGGCCAAGAATCCTGTCCAAGAGCTCGGATACCCACCTGGGGGGCCAACACTTCGACACGGCGGCGGCGACGGCGTCGAGGATCGTCAGGAATGCCTCGGGACGTCTGGGGAAGGGGGAGGGCTCTTGGGGGCCTTGTGGGGCTTCCTGGTGGCTTTCTGGGAGCCTCTTAAGGCCTCTTTGGGGTCTCGAAGGGACCTATTGGGGCCTCTTGGAAAGCCTTTTGAGAACCCCTGGGGTGTGAAGAATCCGCCGCTACCAAGTTGGGACCCACCTGGGGGGCCGTGGACACGTGAAAACACGTCCTCCGCGCGCACGCGCAAGGCGCATGTTGGGCACCTCCCTCCGCGCACGCAGTGTCACGCGTGAAGAATCCAACGCTACTAAGTTGGGTCTCACCCTGGGAGCCGTGGACATGAAAAGATGTGCCCCGCGAACGCGCCAGGCGCATGGTGCCACTACCACCCCTGTCCGCGCACGTATGTTCAACACAAAAACTCCGACGCTACCGACTTGGATCCCCCCGGGGGGGCCGCAGACATGAGAAAAGACGTGCCCCGCACTCACGCGCCAGGCGCAGGTCCCCCCCTCCTCCCGGCGCGCAGATTTCCAACGTGAAGAATCCGACGCTACCAAGGTGGGTCCAAAACTCTGGGGGCCGTGGACACGTGAAAACACGCGCCCCGCGCGCACGCGCCAGGTGCAGAATGGATCCCATCCTCCGCGCACGCATTTGTACGTTTGAAGAACCCGACGCTGCCAAGTTGGGACCCCCATAAGGGGGCGTGGAAGCATGAAAACACGCGCCGCGCGCGCAAGCGCCAGGCGCATGTTGGGTATCCCCCCTCTGCGCCCGGGCTTTCAGTTTAAAAACAACGTTACCAAGTTGGGTCGCCCCCTGGGGGGCCGTGGACACGTGAAACATATGCCCCGCGCGCACGCGCAAGGCGCATGTTGGGTCCCCACACCCCCCTCCGCGCACATAATTGTACGCGTGGAAAGTCCGACATTACCAAGTTGGGTCCCCCCCCCCTGGGGGCCGTGGGAACGTGAAAACACGCGCCCCGCGCGCATGCGCCAGGCGCATGTTGGGCCCCCCCCTCCTCGCACGTGCTTCCACGCGCCATAAGTCCGACGCTACCAAATTGAATCCCACCCTGGGGGGCGTGGACACGTGAAAACACGTCCCCCGCGCGCACGCGCAAAGCGCATGTTTGGTACCCCTCCCTCCGCAAACGTGCTTCTACGCGAAAGAATCCGACGCTACCAAATCGAGTCCCCCAGGGGGGGCCGTGGGCACATGAAACACATGCCCAGCGAGCACGCGCCACGGTCATGTTAGGCCCACCCCTCCGCACACCCATTGTCAAGCGCAAGCAATCCGACGCTACCAAATTTTATCTCCCCCTGGAAGGCCGCGAATACGTGAAAATACACGCACCGCGCGCAGGCGCCAGGCATAGATTGCGCCTCCCCCCCACACGCGTACGCATTTTCACGTGTAAACAAGTCGGCGAAACCAGGTGGTGCCTCCACATGGGGGCCGTGGATACGTGAAAACGCGTGCCCCACGCGCCAAGCGCATGTTAGGTTCCGCCTCCGCGCACGCATTGTCACGCATAGATAATGCGACGCCACCAGGTTGGGTCTCCACCTGGGGAACCGTGGACACGAGAAAACACGTCCCCCGCGCGCACGCGCAAGGCGATTGTTGCCCCCCCCCCGCGCACGCTTGTCACGCGGGAAAGAAATCATACATTAGCACATTGGGTCTCCCCTGTGGGGAGCGTGGACACATGAAAACACGCGCGCCGCGCGCACACGCGCCAGGCGCATGTTCGCCCCCCCCCCTCCCGCGCACGTATTTTTACGCTCGCGTGAAGAAGTTCAACGGTACCAAATGTGGCCCCCATTGGGGGCCGTGGACACGCGAGAACAAATGCCCCGCGCGCATGCGCCAGGCGCACGTTAGGTCCCCGACGCTACACAATTGGATCCCCCCTCTGGGGGCCGTGGACGCGTGAAAACACGTGTCCCGCGCGCACGCGCCAGGCGCATGTTGTGCCCCCCCTTTCCGCGCATGTGTTTGCACTTGTAAAGAATCCGACGCTGCCTGGTTGGGTCTTTCGCCTGCGGCCCCGTCGTGGCCCGAAACACGCGAAAATGCTTGCCGAACGCACGCGTGCCGAGACACCGGTTGTAGACCCCCCCTCCGCGCACGCATTTTTACGTGACCGATTCCGACGCCTGCTGCTAGACGCCCTCTTCGTGCAAGGCCACAGGTCTGCCACACACACACACACAGAACCATGGGCCCGAGCCCTCACCAGGAAAAATCAAGGCAACTAGCAGAACGGCACAAAGGTAGGCTGCAGAATGTCACATGGTTCCCCGAGTCGGGAATCGCGGCGGCGGCGCCCGTGATTAGGGCCGACACCCGGGCGCGACGCAAGCGGCGCCGATTCATGGAGGGCGACAAAAGCGTTTCTGCTACAGCAGGGCGGTTGGGCCAAAGGACTACAGACAGTAGAGAAAGAGGAGGCGATGGGAGGAGGCGTCTCGGCTGGAGGGCGGTGCCGACATGGGGACGAACAAGAAAAAAAGAGCGGGGGAGCAGCGGCAGAGGCAGGCGGAAAAGGCTCCCTCCTTTTTCTCTTTTCCGCCCTCCCACCCCTCCACTACCACATGTTCCGCGACGACGACGACGACGACGACGACGACGACGACGCACTGCGGATACCCCATGGGGGGAATGGGATGGGGGGGATGCGCAGGCCTGCTGTCGTCATCGACGACGGCGACGGCGACGGCGACGGCGGCGGCGACGGCGACGACGACGACGACGACGACGACGACGACGGTGACGACGACGAAAACGCACTGCTGCGGATGCCCCATGGGGGGGCTGCGTAGGCCCGCTGCAATCGATAATCGACGACGCGACGACAACGACGACGACGACGACCACCACCACCACCACGACGACGACCACGACGACCACGACGACGATGACGATGACTTCGACGACGACGACGACGACGACGACGACGACGACGACGACGACGACGACTGTGGCACATCAACAATCAGCCTAGGAGGGGAAAAGACTTCGCCCCGGATGTGTACGATCACCATCACAACTTCTATACAAAAGGCAATCGTTCAGAGGCTGCCGTGAATGGGTGTACACGCTCCCCTCGGCG